ACACACACACACACACACACACACACACACACACATTTCCCCGATGCTCCTTTAAATAGTCCAAAATGTCAACAGAAGCCTGAGTGAGAACTTCCCAGGACAGCATCCCTGCAGACACAAGCAGCTCTCCTGGGATAAAATTTATTATTTTTTTTATTATCTAAGACTTCTTAGTGGATTGTTTAGATATTTATTCCTAATGACTCACTACATCACTACTGTTTGAATATATCAAACAGTTTTTGCACTTTTGGAGCCCCACATCATGACACTTCCACCACAGGACCCCAAGACAAAAAAAAATAAAGGGGAAAAAAAGCAATGTTTTCCGTTTTAGGTTGTTGCTGCAACTTGTAACTGTATGAGCTGGAACTTATCTCTGAGTGACACATTATTATTTTTTATTTATTATTTAATCTAATCTGTGAAAACTCTGTGGAGCCACTGAAGGAGAACGTCCTTTTCATGTCCAAAGAAACAGCTGACTCTTTGTTTTCCTTACTAATATTTGTTATTTAATCATCTGTAAAGACAGTTTTTTAATTAATACTGATGTTTTGCATGTGGAGATATGGCACGCACAAACAAAAAGGTCCAAAACTTTCAGCTTATTTTTGTGTAATCTTTGTTCTTTTATTGTGGAAGTCACAAACGTACTTAAAAGTTGACTTTTCACGTTTCTTTTTACTTGTATGTCAGTTGTCACGGGTTAGGCAGGGAGTAAATCTGAGTAACAGTTTTTTTAATTATGTTTTATTCAAATAAAAACTAAATTTGTGGAAATAAAAATATGAAAAGCCAGCATGCTTTAAAAAATGCTCTGAAGCAGGAGCGTCAAACTCATTTTCACTGATGGCCAATTGTATTTAACTTCCACATTTTGTGTTAAGACTAATGTATTAATAATAATAATAATAATAATAATAATAATAATAATAATAATAAACAATAACTGAGCTCTACGTGGTATTTCCTGCAGAAAAACAGTGTTTTAAAACGTCCTTTCATTAACACTGAAAAGTACTACGTGTACTAAATGTGAAATAATACAGAAATACTATTAGAAGTAAAAGTAAGAGTTTTCCCTACTGGAGTGGTGGAAAGTCTTGAATTCTGAACTCATTTTCCCACAGGATGGGCATTCCAGCTTAAATTTACAACTTGTAAGGGAGCAGACAAACTGTTGGCCGCAGAGATGACAGAACCAAAGAGAAAGCAGGAGGAAAAGAAGACGGGAGAACTTATTTATAGTGGCAGAGCGGGTTGGAAGAGGGTTATTTGATGTTATTTATCTTTTTTTTTTCTAGGCTCTGAGATGTTAAATAAATTTGAAACTGAGATTTTGAATAAATCCATAAAACTTGAAAAAAATCCCTGACATTGCTCTATATATCCGTATACCTGCAAAATGAAAGAAAATCGGTGTAAATTACGGACAGACCGTACAACTTGACATGTATGTAATGCCGTCATTTTGCAATTAAATAATCAACATGCATTCTGAGAGATGCAGTTTATAAACAATGCTGGCTTTAAAGCAGCTTATTTTAAGATAACAGTTTTGAAGCGCTCACCATAGGCGTAATTTGCAGGGGGGTTAGGGGGGTTATGACCCCCACAATAATTTGATCTAGTTGATATAACCCCCCCAATAAAACATAATTTTGCTGTAACAATAAAAATTAACTGGTTAAATACACAGCTGCAACTCTAGTTGTTTTTAGTTAACTTTGACCTGATTTCAAAATTTACAATGTCACATATTATGTGATATGTGCACATTTAAGCATAATTGTTGAAAATAACATGCAGGGTTTTAGGCTGCCTTTGTCACATTATGGCTAGATTGTGTTGTATTTTTTCCTGGACAAATTGTAGTGCACCAGGTAAATACATACTTTTGGAAATTTTAGAATGTAGTTATGTCATATAATGCATCCTAAAAAGGTCAAATATTTCTTACTTATGGAAAAAAAGAAGGGTAAGCCTTTTCTTATCTGTTGAACTGACGTGAAACAGAAAAGGTGCAGAGTAAATACAAAAAAACAAACAAACCCTGAAAGTTAAGTAAATCAAAGCAAAAGCCTTAAAATATATTTTATCTCCTAAATATCTTGAATGGTTTTACAAAAGTAAACAACTCAATAAATAAATAGAGAGCACAACCCCCCCAATGGTAGACCTAAAGTTACGTCCTTGGTGCTCACTGGCCATATAAAATGCCACAGTGGGCCACATTTGGCCCACGGGCCTCGAGTTTGACACAAAGCTCACTAATACATATTAAAACACGCATCAGTTAGCTAAGTGATCACATCTTTCTCTTCAATAAATGATCATTTTGCCTACGCGGTGTAAAATATCTACATAAAGTGTGAAAGTTGTTAATGACTGCGGGCTGAGCAGGACCAGAACCTCTGTGGTGAATGAAAACAGAACCTTCCTCAATGAGCTCCTCTAAGACTCGCAGCTGAAAATTAATGAAGGTATTAATGTATTTTTGGGTGGAGGTGTGTGTGTGCTAACATGCCACTTCCTTTTTGTGTGCATGTACGGGTGTGTCGTCTGCTTCAGTGTGTGAATATTCATGTGTGTGTGTGTTGCACTGGACTCACTGAGCAGAACAGCCTGGGGTGTGGAGCACAGGAAAGTCTGGGGGTTAAAGATACACACAGATATGTTAAACAGCGCTCTGAGACATGAAGTCCTGGCGATTGTGTAATAAAAAACAGTTGGAGCGTCTGATTTATGATTGGTGGGGGTGGCAGAGAGGAGGGGGCTGAGCTGCAAGAGGGGACAAAGAAATAAATGTTAAAGGAGAATGTTTCATACCCCCGGGTGAGTCACCTGTGAAATTCAGTATCATCATATACGCTGATGATACGCGATAAAATAAGAATAAAGATCTGAAAGGTAGAAAAATAAACATCTCTCCTAAGCATAAAATTCAAGAATCACAGATTTTAGTACGACGACCGCCACAGCCAGCTAATCCCAGCAAACTCTATTATTTTGATAAAAATCGAGCTAATATTTGATAAAACTGAGAGTCATCCTCAACATATGATGCTAACACATGAACAAAAAACACACAACTTCATCATAAGATGTTTTAGTTTAGAACTCTGGCGTCCGTTTACAGTTAAAGATGAATAAAACGCCTTTTTTTGTTTAATCTCAAATAAGAAAATTCCAGTTCAACTTTCAGAAAAGCAGCCATCGAGGTCCCACATGTGCATTTAATCACGAGGAAATGTAACGTTGTGTGTTTCCAAAGGACACACGATGCCAGAGCAGGGTGGATGAATTATCTGCACACACACACACATTTATATTTAGGTTGACACTCAAGGGAACATCCGGCATTCTTGAATTTAAAGTCCCCGTCTCCTCCTCGGCTCGAACACATGTGCAGCAGGAGCTGAAGGTGAAGTGAAGTTTTTAGTTTTAACTTTAAATCTGTCAAACAACAGAAAGATTAGATGCAAAAATACATACACATCCTGCATGTAAAAATATACATTTTTTTAGTATTATACTACATCTGACTGAACTGAACTGATGTGTGAGATTAACACAATCAGAAAATATGATCGATTCAATATTTTCTAGAGTCCGCTCCACTTTGATTTACACTAAAATAATTTTAATTTCTTTTAGTTTTTGTTCCAAATGAGTCACTGTGTGCTGCAGTCGCCCTCCTGTGGTGTTTTAGAGTAATGCAACCTATAATTTATTACAGCGTTCATGGCAGTAAACTGTTAATAGCTAATGAGCCTCTTTACTGAGACTTATAACCAGAAACTTTATCACTATTATAAATTATCACCTGAACTCTGTGTTCACTAATATTTTGCTTGCAAAAATACTCTTAAAAGATCTATTTTAAGAAAAGATCTGCCCAAAAGAGAACTTGGCCTTTAGAGGAGACATATTTCTGCTTTTAAATCCCCCCCCACCCCCCAAATTTAAATGATTCCGTTGGGGACTATATAAAGTGGAACTGCAATGCTCCTCCTCCTTATTGTAACTCCACAAGCCCCTCTTTCACCCCTTTTCTTAGGTCTCAGATCAACCCGTTTTGAAGCTGTCTCTTTAAATCCAAATGAGCCGCTTCAAACCCCAGCCCCCTCCAGCTTCCAGACTGGTTCATTCTACTTTGATAGAGGGGTTTACGACTCCAAGTACACAACAAAACACAAATTTAATGGCTACAAAAGTTGGTTTTTGCACATGTCGCCTTTAACAGGTTAGGAAATAATTAAATTAGTAAATAAAGTAATAAAATGTAAATTAGTATTCCTAACATGTATTCTAAATTAAGAGAGTGGTACTGTTGTCCAGTTTTGGAACCGAAGCCTGGTCCAGCTAACTGTCATCAAGAGATAGACGTTGTTGTGCAACCAGGACTTCCAGATGAGAACGGGGCTGTAGGGTGGCTGGGCCCAGCTTTACAAATAAGCTGAGGAGTTTGGATTAAAGCTGCAGGTGAAAACAACTCAGCTGAGGTGGTTCAGACACGTGATTCGGATGTTTCCTGCAGGCAGGTCCCACTGAGAGGAAACCTCGGGACAAGTCCAGAACCTGCTGAGGGTATCAGGTGCCCTCTCTGGTCTGGGAACGTCTTGGGATTCTTTAGGAGGGAACGGAGAGAGATGTCTGGAGTTCCCTGCCTGTTGCCTCCATGACTCCACCACAAATAACTGGCAGAAGATGGATGGATGATTTTCCTTCTGAATCAGTTGGTTTTTGAAAGATGGCCCTGTTACAAAAAGCACATTGACACAAATAAATGTGACAACACTGTGGTGCCCAAATATGTGCCTGCTTTTTCATTGGATCAGCATGATGAAATGTGGTATATGTCAATTTTGTAAAATAATAATAAAAAACCACTAATCCACTGTTTATTCTGTGACTTATATTTCTTCAAATTTTCTGTTATAATGTGCCAAAGTTTCTTCAAGCACAATGATTAGAGCTAAATTTTGCAATTATAATTATTAAACCGTTTTAATGTAACGATTTAAGTCATTTTAACATTTTTTCTTTCTTTCAGGTAAAAAGAACAGTAAAGTGTTAAACGATGCTGAAAATAAAATCTTCCTAAAGTTTTGACAAATTGCTCACACTTCAGACACATTTAATTTTACTCTCCTCTTTACATTAATTTTTCTCATACCACACGCTGTTTACTACCATAAAGTTACCGTTTTGACTGTTCAAGAAACATTATTAAAGCAGGCACGCTTATGAAATACAAACTGGCTATGCTAGTTAGAAAAAGCGACAGCGAGGAGAAAAAGGCTGCTTTTTGTTTACCTACGTGAATGGAGCAGTAAGGCGGGCCGTGAGACTGTGTGGACCAATAGCGTCGCGTTAAAGCGTTGATTGACGTGTTTTCCAACCAATGACAGAGGAGTACAGCTGGACACGCTCGACCACCACACCGTTTTTTTCGCTTCTCACAGAAAAACAGTGAATTTGTCAGGTTTTTTTTTTTTTTGGAAAAGCAACCCAGGCAAACCAATTGAAGGTACAGTTTTTTATTAACAGCTGGAATAATTTCTTCATAGCGTAGTTTTTTGGTGACGCTGGGGTCCGTAAAGAGACGTTTGCCCGCACTGACAGCTGGTTTTTCGGATTGCCCCCACGAAGTTCAGCGGTGAGTATGAAACAAACAGGAAGCTAGCTTCAAAGAAACAGCAGCGACATAGAAAACAAAAAACCGTAAACAGTTTTATTTACTTAATAACACTGCTCAGTTAAATTTAAAATTACAAAAAATAAAAATGTAGACAGCTCAAGAGGTCAGAGGTTAATAAAAGTAGCTGTGTTGGTTAACTATACTATTTTGACCTTAAAGATTCATATGTACTTTTTAGACGATTTTAATCATGTCTGTTTAATTACACTTTCAACCAAACAAAAGGGACAGGTTTAACTGTTTTTAATTTAGCGTCAGAAATGTTTGTATTCACGAAGCCACGCAGGCATTTGTGATGGAGAGCGAAAAACACTGGAGGATGTTTGTTCGCGTGCTACGTTCAATTACCCACTGCAAGCTCCGACTTTTAACCTCTCACTGTGGTTTAACCCTTAGTGCTGAGGCCTAGTCACATTAGTTAGTTAATTGAAGAGAAATAATGAAGTTTTATCCTTCTTATGTTGAAAAAAAATCTCGCAACAACATTGTGTCATAAAATATCTTCTGCATCATGTCAGCCACCTCTTTAAAGTTTGCCTGTCATTTTCTCCATGTTTAGAGTTGTAACTCAACTCTCATGTTCCTGACTTTCCTCTTCTCTCCATGTCCTGGCACGTTTCCCTCCTCGTGGACACCAGCAAGAGAAACACTGTGCTCCCTAGTGGTTGGTTTTAAAATGGTCAGCAACAAAAATAAACAAAAACCTCCCGAAGTCGTTAAGAAATGCCACCAGATCGCATAAAGTGTAGCTCCTTGAAAGCAGACCATATCAGAATGGAGGTAGAGTCAAGACTTTTGCAAAGAACTGTGTTTCTGTACTGTCATAAGTGGTAAAACAGTGTTTTAAAAGATTTTCAAAATAAGAGATTCGTTTTATGCTATCATGTTAAAATGATTAACGTCAGCTTAAAACACACAACGTTTGCGAACAAAAAAAAAGCTTTCCTCAACGAAATCCATACAAAACAGGTGTTCATTTTAACATTAGTCCGAACTGCTATAAAGTCCGTGAACGCCTCAGCAGACCACGTGACCGAGCTCGCTCCGTAACTGTAGCACGGAGGCTAACAGGACTTAGCAGCTGCCAGGAATTTCTCCCCGACGAGTGAAAAGCACTCTTCGACTCTACGCTGTGCATTTACATCCGAGTACGCGTTGCGCTTCGAGGAGGACAGCGACAGTGCGATGCCAGGTAACGTTCACCTTGAAGAATAATGTCGCTGACGAACGCTGAGTCGTGCGTGGCGCGTTGTAATCGGCGAAACGCGGAGGCTTGTTTTGTTGACCTGCTTCAGGGATGCTGCCATGCTGTAGCAGCGTGCTAACAGGCATCGAAGCCCACTTTTGTTTGGCCTCAAATAATCAGACAAAATGGGGTTAGTCCACTAAGCATGTGTGTTTGGTAATCGCTCATTTTGTCGTGTTTTGTTCGACGTGTTATTTGCGGGGAGACAGTGTTTTTGTGTTTCGCCACTCTTTAGAAAACCAGTTTTTAAACCACCTAGCCGCTTTACTCTTTGTTGTTGTTGCTGGGATCACCTTAGGCCCCATTCACTGACAGCACAGCGGGGTCCGTCTAATTTCTGGGTTTGCGTAAGCTAGCCTCTTAGCGTAACCAGGCTAACTCTCTGTTGCAAAACGCACACCTGGTTCGCTTCGCCGTGCTAGCTCCTAGCGCTCGTCACGTACGACGCTTGTTTTCAACGTGCCCGCGGATTTTACCTGTTTTTAAAGCACAGTTATCGCCCGCCACAGAAAACTAAGTGGTAATTAATTTAGTTATTGACAAATTATCTCATGCGTGGGCGAATAAAAACAAAGTAATCACCGGATGTGCATCTACAACTCCATTAGCTTTTGTAGTTACATCAATTTATCAAGGTAACCTCAGGTAAATAACCGTAGTTAACACAAAAGTAGCTATAACTAAAATATTTTTAAGATATGGAGCTGAAATTTGGAGTGGTAATGATTAGGCTCATCTCACACACACACCCTGAGCTCTAAGCTGATTGTGCAAGATTTGTTTTCTAAACTTTCCCAGCTATCATTAGTCAACTCTGCCTATCTGTTTAGCAACATATCTCATTAACCACCTGAATTTACATGAAACTTTCAGGATGTAGGTGTGCATCAACTCATTACTTTTTGAGGTCAGCCTGGTTTACGGTGTCTGCTTTAACTAGTTGACTAAATCCAAACACTTTTTAATCTGAAAGGAAGAGGGTGATATTCAACTCTTTAAGGCAGTGGTTCCCAAACTTTTTATCTTCTGACCCACAAAATATCCATGGCAAAAACTTGTGACCCCAAATATTACTTGTCTGAGTACATGAACTTTGTTACTAACCCTAAAAACACAGGCTTTTTTGACAATCTAAACAGCTTATACACAAATATAAATACTTATTCATACTTATTTTGTATTTTAGTAATAATTATAGGGAAAATATTACATCAGCAATTATTTTATTACCCTTTAAARTGATTTCTGGAGATTATCCAAGGTGCTTCATGACCCATAATTGGGTCCCAAGCCGAACTTTGGGAACCAAAGTGCAGTGGTTCCCAAACTTTTCAGCTTTTGACCCACAAAATAACAGTAGCAGAGACCTGTGCCACCAGCTACTTTTGGTCTTATCTGTAGGGCTGTGTATTGGCAAGAATTTGGCGATACGATACATATCATGACAGAAGGGTCATACGATATATCCCGATATATTTCGATACTGTAAACAAGGTGATATATTGCGATATTTTTGGTCCAAAAATTCTATTAAACAAAAACCTCTTAATGGGAAAAAAACAAAACAAAACGAAAAAGCAAAATTCATTGTCTCAGAAAATTCTAATATTACATAGACATACTTTTGATACATTTAGCTGTGTTCTGCTTTGTATGTATTTTATTTTATTTGTTTCATATTTCATCCATGTTTTCAATTATTAGACTAAATTTGCCAATAAATAGTTTGAAAAAATATATTTTTGCAGCCGGACATTGAGAGCAACAGACAGTTTTATGTCACTGGGGGAGTGCCGAGCTCGCTCGAGGTGATAGACGCATGCGCTATATGCGTAACGTGAAGGCTGACTACAGTTGGAAAAAAGAAGTGCACAAGTCACTTAATTTGTCTTAAAATACAGACATTCTGACAAATAAGTAACTGTTTGTAACCTTACCTCAGCTTAGAAGGCAGAGGGTGTCGGTCTTTTCTGCTCAGATTCAGCTATCGGAGCATGAAGCTAATGTTTACTCACAATGCTAATGCTCTCTTACTCTCTGGTGCTCAAGAGGTAGAGGAGCCAAATGGCTGGCTCACTGCTGCCAACTAGTGGTCAGAGGCTGAACAACATAAAAATGAACGGCTGGCAGGAAAGTTGACATTTTAAACCTTAATAAAAAAAATCGATACAGGGCTTTAGAATATCGATACAGTATCGGTAAATGAAATATCGCGATATTTCAGTGTATCAATATTTTCTTACACCCCTACTTATCTGTGTCGTCTTCTGAAGTGAAATTTTTAGTTTATATCTATCTGGAAGTACTCTAATGTATATATATATTGTGTTACTTGCAGGGATTTAGTGCAGTTTTGGATATTTTAGGCCTGAAGAGCTGTTATCGCTATGAAAACTGCTTTTATTGTTTTCTTTTTCCACTTATCTGGTGATGTGAGCACCGACTGCCATCAAGCGCTCAGCCAGTGTTTGTGTGACGCGTGGTGTGAATGGGGTACACCTGTCCAACAGTACAGGTGTCTGCACAGCTCATGTTTGAAGCTGCAGCTGACACTTTGACACACATTTTAGTTTGCGAACAGTGTCGAGTTCCAAATGCATAGGTTATCGTACAGTGGCAAACTCTCAAGAGATTACAGCTCTATTGTTCCAGCATGACTGAAACTATGGCCGCCCTCTGTAACTATTTAAAGACGGCGTTTGTGTTGTGATTTCTTTTTAACGTGACCCCGTGAGTCGCCTGGGGAGACTGACGACACCTGTGAACGATTCAAGACTTCTCTCTCTCAAGAATGCAGTTTGTAATTTGGAGCAGTGTGGTTGAGATACTGGTTTAACGCTTGTTTTCTTTGGTGCAACTGAAATGCTTTTAGAAAAGTCAAATTAGGACATCTTGTACAAGTTTTAGATTGATTTAGTGCACGTGCTAAAATTCATTACCAGGTAGGAAAATTAGAGTGTAGTAGCAGCGACAAGCAGCTCAGGATGTAGTTATTTTTTAATGTGAAAATGCTTTTTTTTTTTAAATTTTTTTTAGTAAAAGATGAGCAATAAATCAATTAGTAAAGAAAACATTGGATAGAGGAGTTGGGAAGTGATTATTATGGTTTTAATGGTCTCCAAACAATATTATCTCAAATGTTTGTTGGACCTTTCCTGTCCCTCTCCACATTTTTTCTTTTATCTTTTAAATTGCATCATAAAACCTTTCACCGTTAACAGATTCGAGCACGCGCTGCTTCACGAGCTTTAAACATGCTTGTTGTGTTGTCTTCATTTTAGGGCTGCAACTAACGATTATTTTAATCGATTAATCTGTTGATTATTTTTTCGATTAATCGGCCAAATCATTAAAATGCCAAATTACATGAATATGAGTAGATATAAATTAAGT